CTGTTGGAAATGTCACGGTAAAACTGTGGTGTCTGCTCTTGTTTATCTGACCATCTTGAAATGCTCAGCACCGAAAGCAGGTTTGCTGGCCCTGAGCTTTACAGGCTAGTTATGGGTTGGCCTTTTCCGTTCCCGAGCCGCGCTGCAGTTTCTCGCGTGCTGACTTTTAAAAGCACATGACGGATAGCTTTGTTGCCGCTGCCCCCAAAATAAGCTGGAAAACGTATCGCTCAAAAGTTTTCTGTATTAAGCAAATAGGCTGCTAAAGCATAAAATGGGTTGGGAGACCTCCCAGTGAACCCGAGCCCTGCTGCTATACAGATTTAAATGATGCCACACATCAACGTGAAGAAGGCTGCTGCTCTCTCTGAAGCGGTCTGGAAACAACAGCAGATCATCAGGCCGCAGACAAGACGGTCGGGACAGCTTCAATCAAATGTTGTTTTGAAGTTGTAAACCTTTTAAGAGGGCTATGGTCTTTTATATTTTAGATTCAACGAGACTAAGTCTGCATGCGCCACACTGTGAGACATTAAGGAGAGCGGAAAGGCTGTTTTATTACCGGCCTAATAGTTTGTCTGTCGAACTTTTAAAAAGCACCAAGCGCAACTTACTGTAATGTTCTCAGATGAGAGACATGAGAGAAGTTCAACAACGTGAATGGAAACTCACTGAACATTAAACCAAATGTATCTAAAATATAAAACATGATGCTGTGCCCTCAACATAAACTTTGTTCCATAATGCTAAGTTTAACCATTTAGAGACACTATGAAATGGCATTCGCAACTTCCACATGCATGAAATTCTGAGTAAAATAGAATATTTGGTGGGAAATAATGTAGGATGAGACTTGATTTTATCTATGGAAAGTGTGTTTCCACTTCAGAGTAAAAAAAAAGTAAATTAAGCTAGTTGTGACTCATCATTACTTGACATAAAATAAACTATAATAAAGTAATAAAACTTAAAAAAAATATATTTTAGACAGCTGCCAAGGCCACATTTCTCATTTTCATTTAGTTTAACTTGTACTAAAGTAACTAAAACTGAAATTAAAATGAAATAGAACTATATAAACAATAACTAATAAAAATTACAAAAACACACAATAATTATTTTTTATAAAATAATAAAAAATATTGATAAAAACTATAAGAGTATCTCAGAGTATCTAACATTGGTTGTGACATAAAGGTATAAAATAATAAATAAACATTATGTATAATGTCATACTGTGAAAATAGTCACAATATGGGATATAAAGTAAGTCACAATTATTATTAGTAGTAGTAGTATTTTTATTATCATCATTTACTCATTTAGAGGAGGAAAAAAGCCTGAGGTGCACAGCCTTGGTTGAAGGAAAAAAGGAAAATATATTTTAGAGGCACTGTTATAATATTTTGATTAGCATTTTTTTATTAGAAAAGTGTGCACAGAAGAATGGGAGCCTTTACTAAAGCTTATAGATTGCATTTTTCCTATGCTAAAATACTTGTTTGTAAATGTCGCAAAATAAGGTTGTCACTTTAAGAGTTGAGATCCTCTGTTCAGTCATTCATTCATTAATCGAGTGATCAGCTCCAGAACACGTCGCAACACTACAACCTCAACAAATCGAAGATGAGCCGCCTTTGAGAGCATCATCTCAAGGGTGCGACAACATCTGTGAGATTTTTATGCATGAGGTGGGAAGGAACAGGAAATGGGTGTTGTCCATCTCATTTGATGCCCATTGATTCACTAGAGGGCAAAATCACTTTCCTTGTGAATATGACCTGAAAAAAGCAAGTCAATAAGTGCTCATAATAGCAGCACTTCTCTGCTCGCTTTAATCAGCTTCTACACAGTACAAAAAGAAAATGTAGTGCAACATAAAATAAGGAGCATGTTTTTTTTTTAGCATCCGCAATCAAAAAAAGACTCAATCATCAGCTTAAATGAAGCCATTTCTCAGCCTGCATGTGGCAGTGGGAGTTAACTGGTCCTCAATCTGAATATTCTTAGCTGTCCCTTTCTTTCACTTTCTCACCTTCATCTCGTTTCAAACCCGTATGGATTTCTTTCTTCTGCTGAACACAAAAGGCGATATTTTGAAGAATGCCGGTAACCAAACAGTTGATGGACCCCATTGACTTTCATTGTATAGAATAAAAAACACTATGGAAGTCAATGCGGTCCATCAACTGTTTGGTTACCGACATTCTTCAAAATATCGTCTTTTGTGTTCAGCGGAAGAAAGGAATCCATAGGGGTTTGGAACAACTTACACCAATAAAGGAAAACGGTTTAACGCATTTACACGACCACACGCATTGTTGGAGAAATAAAATATAATGGAACATATATAATTTCATGTAAGTATAAAGACCCATTTATACTCTGTGAGAAAAATATTAAGTGTTATATTATAAGGAAAACAAGCTGTTTCCAAAACTGTCAGCAAATCATTAAAATATTCCCTACACTCTAAAAAATGCTGGATTGTTTCAACCCATGTTTGGGTCAAGTATGGACAAACCCAAACCAACATAATTTAAACCAACAGTTGGGTTTGTCCACATTTGACCCACACATAGGTTTAAACAACCCAGCATTTATTAGTCTAAAGAATATTAAAAAAACTTGTTAATCTAATTAGGAATGTAAATAATTGTAATAAATTTCATAATTTTTTAAGAAAGCATAATCAAATAATAGCAATATCATCAAAAATATGATTTTAAACACAATTATTGAAGGTAACATGGTAACTCTGAATTTTTTTCAGAAAATGCTCATATTTTCTGCAGATCTCTAAACACCCCTGCTGGCCCTTCTGGGGGTCCCGGGAGCCTAATTTAAAAATCCCTGGTATTGCTTTTTGTCAGATAGCGTCAACAAATGTCTGTCCACAATAAAGAAAAAAGTAGCTTCGATTCTTCTTAATATCTACTTTCCACAGAACAAAAAAAAAGTCATACAGGCTTGGAGCAACATGAGTAAAAGATGACTGGATTCTCTCAAACTATATTCCTTTGATTAAATTCACTAATAATAGTGAAGCGAACAGTGTCTTTATTTTTACGCATTCAGTCTCTAAACAGCTTCCCTACAGAACAGCTAAAGTCATTTTTCACAGAATTTGTCTGGGTATTTAGATGTTTGGGGCTTTGGGAATGGAGGTTGCTTTCACACACTCTCTCTCATGGCCCAACTGTTATCTCACAATCATTGGGATAGAAGAAGTGTTCTCTCTCTCTCTCTCTCTCTCTCTCTCTCTCTCTCTCTCTCTCTCTCTCTCTGTGTGTGTGTGTGCCTCTGGCAACAGTAAACTCACCTTCTCTTCATGAAATGCTGCTTCTGTGTTTGAGAGGCTGTGGAATTGCTCAGGGGAGCAGCACAGGACTGCAGCACTGCCACCACAACTTTACAGCCCCATTTTTCACCCGCGCAGAAATAAATGAAGAATCAGAACATTGCACATATGTTATGAAAATGAAAGGAATGGAAAAAGATTTCCAAGTCATTCACACTCTAAAGCAAGGAGACAGAGAGCGAGTGAGTGGCTGGGTGAAACGCTCCTCCAGTCGGCTTCGTGTCCTGAGGGCCAGTGTCGTATACCACACTTCTCAGAGGCTCCGCCCACAGCCAATGATGTCATCCACAAGCGTTTGTGTCTGGGAGGAAATAGGAGAAACATTAGGTGATTCATTTAATAATTATGCATGGAAAATACGATATACACAAACAAAAATGGACAAATAATAAAACAACTTGCATCATAATATTTAAAATGTAACTTATGTATTATATCGAGCGCCTAGATGCAAGAAATGGAAAAGCAAAATGGATATATAGAATTTTTGGATCCTTTTTTTTTTTGTGGTAATTTTTTGTAAATTATCCCTGTATAGATTTTTCCTTCTCTTTTTCCTCTTTTTGTAGTTTATTTGATGCTGTTATGAATGTAATAGTTGAATGATCTCTTTAAGTGTAAATTATGTTAATGTTCTTGTTAATGCAATAAAAAAATGAAATAGGGTGGTGCAAAAAATGACGTCAAAACCCAGAACACATTTTTCCGCTTTGTATTCAAATCGGTAATCAATATTCGAGCTATTGTGATGCATGTGTAAATGTGTATCTCCATCACTAAAACACAACTAAAATTGCTCGATTATCAAATTTAATCGTAATACTGCATAATTGGCTCATAATGCCATGGGCCTGCGGGGGCGTCCCGTGCGCCAATGCTGAGGGCCTTGAGTTTGGATGAGAAGCCGAGATCTTCCAACTACAGGGCAAGAATTATGAAACCCCTCGCTCGCTTTACCAAGGAAACTGAGATAAGATGTGTTTGTCTTTGGGCCAAAACACAGCTGGCATCTTAAAATGCCTCCTTAGCCAAAAATGCAAAAAACAAATAACTTTTCCCCCCCCAAGACATTTCCATGCTGGACAGATGCAGCCATAACCCTGAGGCTTCGATTTATTGTAATAATAATAATAAAAAACTTTATAAAAGTTATCTGATTCCAGTGGTGTAAGAACAAATTCTTGTGTGGTGCATGAGCTCAACTTACCAATTTTTAAGATTTACACATTTCAATTGACAGTAAAATTCCATTAAATTGAATTGAATAATATTTACACATTTTAATTGAATAATTGATTAAGGATTGTTAAATTATTCAATTAAAATGTGTAAAGATTATTAAATTCAATGTGATGGAATTTTACTATTAATTGAAATGTGTACATCTTTAAAAAAAAGTTTTTAAAAAATTCATCCTAAAAGAAATAAATTATATTTTGCATAAAATAAATGATGTATTTCATATAATAAATTAAATATATATATTAGTAAACAAAATGAAATACATTTTTAGGTCAGTTAAGCACAATTAAGTGACTTTTTAATTTAATTTTTTTTTAATTTTCTTTATGTTGGGTGAAATGTGTCCTGGACATATTTTCGTGATATTTACCCAATTGGTTCTCCTGTCTGGTTTTGTAGCTTTCCCTCTGCTGCGCATCGCCATAGGAACCAGGAGCAGCACAGACATATGACATCACAATGGATCAACGTGCAACCACAGGGCCACCAATCAACATGAGAGATGTGCCAGGAGACAGGACTCTGGGAAAGGAGAAGGAGCAGGTGAGAGGGTGCAGGTTGGTTGGTTTCTGTGTGAGTGTGTGCATGTGCATGTGGTGTATCTGGCTCCTGTGTGTGGGTTGAATCAGCTGCACAGGCCTGTCATGAATTCTGTTTTCCTCCCACTGTCTGTCTGTTGTAACACACTCCGCACACTTTAGCCTCGTCGTCTAACCACGTTAAAGACTTGTTTATTTCTTTCCTAAGGCACCAGGTTTTAGTTAGTCAACAGGATGGTCAAGCTAATGAGATTTCCTATCTTAAAAAGTCTTCACTTGCTGATTTATTTATACACGACAAGATGACCAGTGCAATCTGAGATGCTTTCATATTAATTGGTGGATTTCAAAGATATCTGATGTGAAACATATTTGCAATATTATTTTTTGGGCCAAACAATACTCCACCAATCACAACACTATAAATAAATAAACTAAAATGTATTCATATATTATTGATTTTAGACATTTCTTGATATATATATATATATATATAACTGTGTATATATATATATATATGTATGAAGACCTCCGATGCAAAAGCCTCTAAAAGCCACCTCTGTCAAAAATTTGATAAAAATATTGAGTGAATGCTCTCCGCACATAGTTCATCAAATACTTTCACTTCAAACTCAAAATCCCAGCCTCAGCCCATTCAGAAATGCCGGTACTTGGGTAGAAAACTATACATAGGAGCCTGATAAAAATGTTAATATTAAACAAAAACTTTAGACGTACTTAGAGGCTTTTGCATCTGAAGTCTTTATATATACTGTATGTATATATATAAATGTATTTAATTTATAAAAAAATATAATTGTATATATATAAATATAATTTTAATGTATTTATATATATGTATATATATAAATATAAATATATTAATTATAATATATATATATATATATATATATAAATATATTTGAATATATAAATATTTATTTTATTAATAATTTTGTTTTTATGTATATATATTTATATAAATGATATATCATTATTAATGTATTCATAAATATATAAAATATTCATAAATAAATTTAAACATGAGTTTAAATTTTATTTAATATATTCCTCGATACTATTTGTTTCATATATATCAAATATTTATAATTGATATTTATAAATGAAATGTAAATTATTCATATACAGTATGTGACTAGAGAGAGACCATAGTTGAGTGATACAAGACACATCAACTTGGAAATCCAAATACATTTTGTGAAATAAAAATATGGACTCATGAATATCTATTCATTTTTTAGTGCTATTGAGTGACAATGATGCAAACTAGGCTGGACACGATCTGGATCACCTGACAAGATCTGAAACAGGCTGCGCATTACATTCATTTTTTACATTTTCAATAATCTTGCAATGAAATATTGGCCACTAAATATATAATCCAATATTCAAAACCCATCCAGTTTACCTGAAAAATCAACGATATATTGGATAGAGGATTACAACAGGACTTCTTTTGATGTTAGCGAAGCATGTTGTCGGTGTTACTCTTCAAACAAAGAGAGGGAGTGTGAGGAAAGGGTAGAAAAAAGAAAAACACATATAGAGAATCAGTGTCATTGACCTTAAATCACTCTCTGGTGTCTCCAGGGAAAGGCCTTTATAAACTAATGGATGAATTGCCTCATTTTTTCACCACGGCACAATTAAGTTGCCTGAAGCGCAGCGTGGCTTTTCCAGCAAGAGCCCCTTTATAGCTCTGAATATGAGGGAGACTTGATTTATTCCGCAGAAAATGTGTGGAATATGAAACGCTTTAGTTGCCGACAGAAAGGGAATAAATATTAATTGTCTCTCATTAAAACGGCGACGTGAGAGATTGTTGTCGTGGAGATGACAGTAATATTTATCATGAACATAAAGATATGATTACGGTCATGCTAACTGACGTAGCCTTGAGTGATGGCTTAAAAGCGCTGAATGCTTGGAGTTCAGATTGTCCTGAAGAACTAAAACCTTTTTTCTGTCTGTCAATTACTATTCTCAGTGCGCTTTGTATTGCATATTAACAGCGGAATCGTTTGAAGCATTACACACATTAGCCTGCATGCTAGCTCACGTATTTATTAGCTGTGGCTGCATGCGTGTCCCTGCTGAAAAAGAAACAGCTTAATCCAGTCGTAGCTATAAGCACCAGAACTAGTCTGCTGGTGTTAGAGGGGTTTTGGGCACCGAACAATATCTACTGTAAAGTTAAGGCCATCTTTGAATTACACCACCTACGCACTGAGATCATCCATTACCAGATGGTGGAGAATATGCAACTGTTTGGGGATGTCAGTGCAAAAACAGGGTTGGGTATAACAATTGTGAATTTAAATAAACACATTAAAGAGGCCTTTTATGGCCTTTTACAAAGTCAAAGTCTTTTTTGGGGTCTACTAGTTTTCATGCTTGAATGCTCAAAAATCACATTCTTTTCCCACATATTGTACATTGTTGCAGCACCTCTCTTCTGTCTGTAACGCCTGCTACAGACTGTGTGATTTCGGCAATCCTATAAAATCATTACAAATCACACAATACAACATGGATCTAATAAACTTGGGTACGACATGTATGTAGACTGTACGATGGCATGATGACGCAAGTTAGAATAGAAGGCGTCATCAGCATGTGCTAGTGGTAAACAAATAGAGCCAGATTAAATGTTTTCACTTTGGCAATTGGGGTTTTTGTGTGCACTGAAAAAAAGAGGAAGCGAAAGAGGAGAATATGGACATGGTCAAAAGAGGCCAACTTGGCATGACAATCTTGCAAATGGAGCTTGAGGCAAGTAGTTTTTAAGTTTTAGCGCCATGTCACTTTGATCAATACGCCATTTCATGTTGCATTTTTATTGGCTAGTCAGTAGATGTAGGGTGTACCAGCAAACACATTGTGAGATGATCATGCTAAACTTCTGACACTGTCGGAAAAGTATCGCAGGCTATCTTTGGTCACAAGACCGTGACAACAGCTGTCTCTCACTGTACGACGTAGAACCACTGTTTAGGAGCCACGACCACAGAAATCACAACGCATTCTCATCCTTTGGCGTCATATAGGTGACGCCATATGACAAAACGGCGAAATACTACGCACATGGCACCCTTTAGCGTGAATATAACACGCACTGTGATGGGTAGGTTTAGGTGTGGGGTAGGGTCTGCGTCTCATATTCACGCTAAAGGATGCCAGCCAACTTTATGACGCCTTGGGTTTGCGTGTTATATTCACGCTAAAGGGTGCCATGTGCGTAGTATTTCGCCGTTTTGTCATATGGCGTCACCTATATGACGCCAAAGGATGAGAACGGGCTCGAAATCACCACGATTGGTCATCTTTCATCTGGGACAGCCCAAAATTGTACAATGTGTACGGGGCATAACACTCTGGGGTGCGTTTCCCAAAGCCAACTACACTTACTTTTACAATTATGCATTTGGCAGACTCTCATTGAATTTCAAAGTACACATTTTTGCTTTCCCTGGGAATTGAACTTGTGACTTTGTTGTTGCAAGCGCCAACGCTCTACCGTTTGAGCTACAAGAAAGCTCTGGTCGCAAGTTCCGGCATTATCAACAGAGTTCAATGGAAATTGTGACCATAGTTGGCTAACGACGCTTTTGAGAAACACACCCTTGTGTCGTAGTGAAGCCCCTCCTTCCGAAAAGCTCAATGAGCTCTGATTGGTCGGCTGAACCGGTGTGTTGTGATTGGTCAACTGCTTTGAGCAGGTTTTCGAAAACATCACGCCCCTTACCATGAGTTTCAACACACTAACGCAGGGGTGTCCAAACTCGGTCCTGGAGGGCCACTGTCCCGCAGAGTTTAGTTCCAACTTGCCTCAACACACCTGCTTGTAAGTTTTTAGCATGCCTAATGACCTTCAACAGCTAATCAAGACCTTGATTAGCTGTTTCAGGTGCGTTTAATTGGGGTTGGAGCTAAACTATGCAGGACAGTGGCCCTCCAGGACCGAGTTTGGACACCCCTGCACTGACGCAACTCAACCAGGCCTCGCCCCGTTTTTTGCCGTATGATTTGGGCGGGAATTATTTAAATGAAGACTATAGTGACGTAACATTTATGGTCAACATCACATGACACAATGTACACTGAAAGTCAGGCAGTAAACAGCCCACTCACTCTGCTGCATATCTAACCCTGCTTTATCCGTACAACACCATCTCTGAATCAGATCAGATCAAACAAAAACCCACTTATTGAAAATGAAACCAAACAACAAAGCAAATTCATTTCATTAATGCTAGAATATCTAGGCTGAAACGAATCGTGACGGATGATTTAGTCATCAAAAGGAAAGTAAAAAGACCCTCTATGATTGACACAATCCTTGTTTGTACATGTAAAACCACCCAAATTTAATACATACAGATAAGGAAAGAGAGAGAGACAATTACGGAAAGCCACGGTGGCGTGAACGCCGATTTAATATTCCACTTAAAATAACAACGTCAGCCTATGAGGAATGGCTATTTGCACAAGCAGAATGAAGCAGAGGTCAGGCGATGCTGTTCGTTCCTCCACAACATAACAAGGATGCAGCAACACAGCTCGGAAAATACTTAATGAACCATAAATAGTGATCTAAAGAAGCTGTCTCGTGACGTACGGCGTGCGACTCTGCAATGCGGCTGTGGGCTGTTTGCGTCTTGCCAAGGGTCAGATCTCAGTTCTCAGAGAAATCTGATGATCTATAGCCTATCCTCTTTTTCTCCATTCGTTTTCTCTTCGTCCTTCTTTTCACCTCTTCTGATTGTTTGTTTATTTGCTTTCTCTTTTCAAGTTCCCAATATATTCTCTCTCGCTTGCTTGTTTTTGCTTTTAATACAATACAAATACGACGTCTTTTTTCGGCTCTAAAAAGCACAAGGCTGCCTGCCTTCACATTTCAGTCCGATACCGCCAATTGTTTAATGCAAAAACAAAAAAAAATGCATTTTTCCACGAACAAATCCCTTGGAGATGCATCAGCGAATGGAACCCCGAGGCCACATCCGGAGCCAGCAGCATTAACTGATGGTCTTATTAGCGTTTACAGCCCTCTGTCGTTCTCAGAAGTGCCATGACAACATGTGTACGTCCTAATGGGCATCTGTATCTTTCTATGATTGCTCCCACTGACTGCCAATCAGCTGAAACGCAGCAAGAGCCTTAATAAGTACAGCGGGCTATTTACCAAGCACCGGGAGCGGAGTGACGGATGGGTCATAAACGCGTACCTTTCGGATCCATCATATGGAGATTTTCGTTTGATCGCATGAGGGCTGCCTTTATTTGCTCTCCGAAGAGCTATGGGGCATAAGTGTCAGGCCTGAGATGAGTTCCACGGAAAGACACGGATGGAGATGGAGCGTGTTTGAAGGCTTTTTTGCTCCACGCGTTTTGTGTGTTTTCTAAAAGGGAGAGAAAAGCGGAAAAAAACGCGCCTTGAGCGAATCTCCTCTGGGCCTGTCATGGAGTTCCTCCGGCAGAACACACAGTTGGTCCTGTGAGCTGCACTATTGATTTGAAAATTACTGGCCTGCATAGTCACACCATCTGTTGTGTTTACTGCAAATGCCAAGCAACATTTCCACAGCGGGGAGGAGAAGCTCTCGTTCTTTATGTATCTTACGAGCATGCATGTCTGTTCGCGGGGAAAAGTGGACAAACAAGCCAAGTGGACAAAGCAAACATGCATATATTGAAGGGTTTGGGGTTGTTTGCTTTTATATTAAAGATCTGTGATGCCAATTTTAATGCATAACAATACGAAAAGAGCTTTTCTCCGATGGGTTTTTTCTTTTTTTGCTCTCAAGGTCTCAACGCAACATAATGGGTTCGATTCCCAGAGAATGCATCTACTGAAATTTGCTTTGGATATAAATGCCTGCCAAAAGCATAAATGTAATGCATTTTTATTTTGTTTTTCAGAAGGTCCTTTCAGTGTTCGGATACACAAAACCACAAGGTTTTTGCATCTAATGCACACAGACAAAGGGTGAATAAGATTAAAAAAGGCCTCACATTCACATGATGTCTCTAAAATGTGACTGTGCAGTAAATGTGCTAATTAGGGATGCATGACATATTAAGATTTTTGAAGGGATTTTTGAAGTAAATAATATCTGATTTGGCTTCTAATAAAAAATTGTTTTGGTTCTAAATAATTTGGTTCTAAAAAGCACAAGGCGGTCAAGTTAAGAGTCCCATTATTTAACGTAATTTTTCCACTAACAAATTACTGAGATTAATCAGCAAATAGAAAAAGGGTGAAAATTCACATGAGGTCACTAAAGTGTTTGCAAATGTGCCAATTAGTAGGGATGCATGACATATGAATGTTTTTAGGCTGGATTTTTTTTAAGATTTTGTCTTTTTCAACTCATTTTTATTAATTAGAATTCTTTCATACACTAAAATATTTTGATGAATGTAAAAATTCAGAAGACATTATACTGTAATAATTATGTGTTGTAATTGTTATGCATGTTCTGTAAACAGCAAAGCATGCTATTCTTACATATTTTTAATTCATTTCCCAGTTAAAATTGATAAAAAAAAATCTTATAAATGTATGCAACACTGCAGAAGATATTATGACTAGTTTTTATTTAAGTTTCTTACTGCACTAGCTTTTTACTTTTAGGTATAAACAAGTCAACAACAAATCCTAGCATCTCATAAATCTCGTTCAATGATTATTAGATATTTTTAATGGACTAATTAAAAAACGAATTAAGAACTTTCAAATCATGTTATTTACACAGGTGGGCCACATGAAAGTTCATGTTCTTTATGCAGCACTCTTGACCGTGTGTCATGCAAATATGTTGTGTGTGTGAGTTTGTGGACACGTGTGTCGTCTCTGTCACTCTCTCTCTCTCTCCTCGTGCCCTCCTCCTTTCAGCAGCAGGCTGGCTTGTTATCCGCTGGCGTGAGGCGGAGTGTGACAGCGTGATAATCCGTGCAGATATGTGCCGCTGACCCCGAGATGTTCCTGCCTGCTGAGAATACTGGGGGAACTCGGCCGTCTCTCTCTCTCTCTCTCTCTCTCTCTGCCCCTCTTTTTCTTCTGCTACAAATATTCCAGCGGACATATGCTTCCCCAGTTCACTGCAGAGCTTATGGTGTTTGTTAGTCCGACACATCCAGGCTCAGGGTGTGTGAAAGTGATTTGATCTTCCGCTCTGGAAGCTTCATTACCTGGGTCACAAGCCGACTCTGAGGCTGCGAGGTGTGATGCTGGATCTCTGGCAGGTGTGTGAAGAACCGGAGCGTTGTTGACACCAGGCCTCACTGACTTCGTCTGACACAAACAGGAACTGCTCCCGTCCTGAGAAACGTGCATCCATGTGACAAATCTGAAGACGAACGAGGAAAATTATTTCAGTCCCACTGTCTTTCTGTATTAGTTGTGCAAGTTGTCCCAAGATGGTCAAATGAATTCTACATGATCCAAAATGATCGTTTTTCAAGTCACCTTTATTTAATTGATAAACTTTATTAATCCCCAGGGGGAAATGTATATAGCGCTTTATACAATACAGATTGTTTCAAAGCAGCTTTACATTGATCAGTTCAGTGTTGATTCGGTTTGGTTTAATGTGTAAAGTTCATCAATTATGGAATGAGTTCAATTCATCTATAAATCAGCTCTGGAGAAAACAGTGATGTCATCATCAGCTCAGTTCAGATCAGTGAATCATTAGTAGGGGCCAAGCTGGTCAAAACAGGTTATTGGTGAGAATACTAGCTAGATCTGGTTGGGGCCTGCTTAGCCAAGCTGGTTAAATATAAAACACCAAAAACAAACCAGTAAACATGTTCCAAATCCATCTTAAACTGATATGAGCTGTTTTTCCTGTTAACACAACAATAAAAAACAATACTAATATACTGTATTATTGGCAACGTTGCAATTAGATAGACTGTGTGTGTGTGTGTGTTGTGTGTCCTGGTAAACCTTACATTATGGGACAAAATGTCCCCACAAAGATTGTAATATCCAAAATGCTTGTCCTTGTGGGGACATTTGTTGGTCCCCATGAGGGTAAAAAAAAGCTTATAAATCATACTAAGTGATGTTTTTTGAAAATGTAAAAATGCAGAAAGTTTTCTGTGATGGGTGGGTTTAGGGGTAGGGGTAGTGTAAGAAAATAGAGAGTGTGTGTGCATGCGTGTGTATTAATGGTAATGCTATTGTGTTTTTGGACAAATCGTGCAAAAATGTGCAATATGATACAATAGCATGAAATTTTGTACTTTGTAACACCATTTAAAATACCATGATAAATGAATATTGTAATCCTAAACAGTAACAGTACACTACTATGATACTGTATATCATATGTCAACATAACATGGTTTTACCATCTGGTATCATAAGTGAACCATGGCGCCGCCATTGTATTTTTTTTATATTGCCAACAGACCAGCATCACATTTCACACATTTCTCTAAAGCATGGGCTTAAACTGGCATAAAACACTCCCAAAGACACAAACACACCTCTCCAGAAGAAAGACATATCTAGAGCTCCCTCTTATGGCCACCAGCTGTGTCGAGCAGCAGGTTAAATAAATCCCCTCCCATCCGCTCGTGAAAAGAATGAGAAAGAGGAATGAAAATCCCCCCTCGCTCCAGTCCCGCTGAAATGCCAGACATCCAGAGAGAGGCTGCGCGAGCACCTGAGATCCACATTACAGTACCTTCACAGACTGCAGGCCTTACCCAACATCTGTCCACTAATCACACACAGATGACAGTAATGTTAATTAAAGTTAATGTAATCAAACTCCATCCATATGGCCTTGTCCCTGATTAGTAAGAAATGCTTTTTTTATCCTGCTGTAACTTGTTAGATTAGCGCCACGCTTCATCACAATGATGTCTGGAACCAAACAACTCACAATGGGCCATATTGCAAGACCTTTAAAGATTAAAGTAAAAACATGCACAAAAAAAAAACAAAAAAACAAAAAAACAGACAGCAACATACTTTAATAAGTATTGTGCAATTAATAACTGTGAGCATATTTAAAGCCTATATGCGGCTGAATGTTGTATTCTTACTATTTTATATGCAATATATATATATATATTAGATGCAATATATATGTTTTATATATATATATACACATATACAGTAAATATAATTTTAGTGCTGTTAAACATTTTTATTTCTATAATGTAAAAACTATAATTAATAAATAAATAGATATTGAAATATATTATACATACATATATATATATATAATATTTAATAATAACGAAATATTGATAAAACACTTTTTTATTTAAATAAAAAAAATATGAATAATTTATTTTTATTTTATACATTATTTTAGTCACTTGGTAAATACTCTGTCTATTCATGTCTAAATGAATATCAGTTCCAAATTGGAATAGTTGTTTTGCCTTTTTATGTATACAGTAGCCTACATCATGTGGATTATTGTTTTTACAAAGGATGTTTTGTTAAAACATATTTAAGATACATTCAGTAGAGTTCTGGAAAAGAAAATACAGATTTCTTTCACACTACACATCAACTGAGGCTTCCCACAACACAAAGCGACAACCAGCGTGGATTACACACGGCCTACGGGTTACAAGCTCCCGATCGCCTACTCCGACAGGGTTTGCCAGGATTTCTGCAAGGACGCCCACTCTCTGACTACAGAAAATATTGTGCATAGCCGTGTAAATGAAAACTGAAATCAGTGAAATGCAATTATGGCTAGAGAGAAACAAATAAACACATCCAGTGTGGAACGTGTGTTAAAAGCAGCCGGGCAGGGAGATTTACGACACGGCTGGTGAATTAGAGCAGCCTCGAACCAGTGGCCTGTTGAATCGACCGTCCATTTATTGGCCATAGAGAAATGAGCCCCTGCTCCCCCGAGCTGTCAGTAAATTTAGGACCTCACTGGGGTTGTAAAAGACTGTGTTGCTTGTCATTGTGTCATTAGGCTATTATGAGCCTATTTCAGCCCCTTTTCAGTCAGAGTTTAAGATGTCTTCTCTTACAAGACCTATGTTGATGGAAATTATGTTGAATGAAATTCAAAAGGGGTCGTTAAGACATTTTAATTGTAAAAACAATATTGTGAAATATATTACAATTTTAAATGTTTTCTATTTTTAGCATTACTTCATTACTCTGTCACATGATCCTTCAGAAATCATGATGATTTGTTGCTCAAGAAACAATTCTTAATATTATCAATGTTGAAAACAGTTGTGCTGCTTAATTTTTTTTTGGCGAAACCATAATTTAACATTTAAGGATTCTTTGTGTGTGTGTGTGTATATATATATATATATATATACACCTATATACTACTGCTCAAAAATTGGTGTTCAGTATTTCTATTAAAGAAATTAATACTTTTACTCAGCAACGACACACTCAATTATTTAAAACTGAGAGTAATTTTTTTTAGTTATTTAGAAACTTTCTATTCACTAAAGAATCCAAAAATAAAATGTGTACTTGCTTCCCATCACTTTAGATTCTAACCAAGAAATTTTAAATCTTAACCAAAAACAAAAAGTGCCAACACTATGGCTCTGTTGTGCTTTCAAACCCAACAGAGCAACATTAGTTCAATAGTGTGAGTTTGGGGGCGGGGCTATCTGTTTGGCTGACCAATAGCAGAAGGGAGGCATGCTCTATTTGAAAACAGTGCACAGAAACAGCTTTAATGTTGGATTAATTACATTATTTTCTAAATACAACTATGTTTAATCCTAGGTATTTCCATTTTATTTAATCTTTTCTTTTCCCTTTTTGTTTTCTCCAGTTGCATTTCGGTAACACTTTATTTTAAGGTGTCTGTGTTACAGTGTAATTATATATTTAAATACTGAGTAATAATAATTATTAACTACATGTACTTACTATAGGGTTAGGCTAGGATTAGGTTTTGGTTGAGGAGGGTTAATTGCATGTAATTATGCATAATTTATTGTTATTACTATGGTAAGTAGCCTACATGTAAGATGTGTAACAATGACACTGGTGTTACCGCAGTTTTCTTATTTAAAGGCCTAATGGTTAAGGTAAATGAATGCATAGATTCAGGGAAAATCTGGGTCAGGTCCGTGTTGACAAGATGAGTGACAGGTGATTGACTTCTGCGATTGATTCATTCCGTTAGTGCCACGTGGCTGAGCCCTCAGCTGGGTTAATAATGCCTTCAGTCCAATCAATAGATGGGAAGATATTACTAAACAAACATCTTTGTTTACCGAGGAACAGTAAAACAATCACCGCAATTTGATTTTTCGGTCATTACTGCAAATGTTCTTGTCTCTGCCGCTCGCCGACGGTAATGTGGAGATTTAGAGTAATTGGAATCGATGAGCACGTCGTTGCACACCGAGTCTGTGCTCAATGGCTTCTCTCTATAGACTAGATGCACAAGTACCAGCGTGCCACAGATTATGAGATTGCGCAATCGGCGCAAACCACCATGTTCGGTAAAAAGCTGCCAGACAATTAAACAAAGCAAATGTTTTATGTGCTTCCCGTTGGCCTAGTAAAGTAGAGCAGGTCATCTGAACTTTTCAAACAAAACGCTTTATTTCTGAAATGTATTTGGCTCAAGGCTGTCATCTCCAATGACCCTTAGCACTGCATCAAGAAGGAAAAAAAGACAGAGAAGAAAAGCGAGAAAAAAAAGAAAAAAAAACGTGTTTCCACTCAGTCGTCCTGGTGTCTAACGTGCTGGGTGCACTGATGAGCTAATAAAACCCACCAAAGTTTTGGCCCATTTCTGAAGATGATTGTGTGTCTGTAGATGAGGCTCGGTGCGAGTGTGACACTAAGATGCCCCGGCTCATTAGGGGGTGGCTTCTCTTCACACCTCCCCCTGCAGGAGGTGGGGGCCGCCCCATGACAGGGCCCCTATCTACGACTCCCTTTTGTTTCTTAATGTTCAAAATCGATTAAGAGATGATCTGGCCCGGCAGCTAATTAAAAAGGAGCAGGTGCCAGAGTGTAAACAGCCGTGGCGCCAGGAGCTGACATAGAGCGGCACAATTATTCATCCCAAACGCTCAGACCTCATAAAGGCGAAAAGGCGCAAAGACAGACTAATGGAGAACTGACTCACCCTCTAACACACTCACATTCTTCCTAGTCTGGAGCAGTGTGAGGCAAGACACCTTAAATGACAGTGACGAGGCTGAGGGAAACACATACGTCTCTCTAGGTCATTCCTACTACAATATATTGTCATGTTCTCATCATATATATTATATTAAGGGCCAGATTTACTAAATGGGGGAAATTAGCGTGAGACTGCAATTCCATGAAAACGCAGATGGGAGTGGAAAGTCCTGTGCGTGATCTACTGATGACGCGGAAATTAAAGAACAGACGCAGCCGGATCATTTCCATAATGACCAACGCAATCTACCAAGAGCAGCGCAGATTAGCGTAGGGTCGCAAACAAGCAGAGCCACTGATAATCAGGTGCGGGTGATCTACTAACAACACAGGTGCAAAATTGGGGGGTGTTAAATAATGGCGCAAATACTAGTAAATTGACTAGCGCAAACCTTAGTAAATCACCTTGCATGATTCATTTAAATACTCTCCTCCCATAAATTTTGCATCTGAAAGGGAAACTCCTACAAATGCATATGCAATAAGGTCAGCCGCAATATAACCCTGGCCAAACCTTTTTAGCGCTGGTTTTTCACTTTTTAGTTTTTCTTTAGTAAATCCTGACAGTAGTTTTTTAACGCCAAAAGAGGGTTAGTAAATCTGTCCATAAATGTCTTAAAATGATAGTTTACCTAAAAATGAAAATTCTGATTTACCATTCATGCCGTTTCAAATCTCTATGACTGTTTTCTTCAGTGGAGCACAAAACAAATGTTGTTAAAAAATGTTTTTTAGTCAATGGGATCGAATGATGTTTGGATGTTGAAATGGTCTGAAAAGTGGACAGGGGCACATTATTATCAGCAGCATGTCTCATGAATATTAATTAGGCAAGATGTCATCCAATAGTCCTGCTAAAAAACAGCTTTTTTTCAGCCCTAAGCAAAACTAAGGCCTGGTTTCACAGACAGGGCTTAGATTAAGCCAGGATTAGGCCTTATTAGGCGTTCAAGTAGCTTTTCTAAACGTGCCTTAGAAACAAACATTACTGGTGTGCATCTTGAGACAAAACAATGGCACTGACATATTTTAAGATCTGTCAATGCAAGTTGCTTTCAGTTAAAACAGCTCAAGCATGTATTTTAGTCTGGGACTATAGGCTTAAGGCTTGTCTGTGAAACTGGGGGTCAATGTTATAAATAAATACACTCTCTATCCCTCATTGAGTTTTGCATAACAGGAATGAACAACAGCACTTTGGAAAGTTTGGCCTGTTCTTAATATTGTCTACATGTCATTATGACCGAGTTATAATAAGAAACAACGCTACCACGCTGGGCCGGCACATGTCACTGTGTTACCAGAGCCATCTCCATCTTATTGACAGACAAGGGAAGGGACATGAAATTTCATTAAAGTGTAACATAGCAGAACATAAATCAGTGCCTTTGAAAACACACATGAGAGTGATAGACAATGGAATAACTCTCTTTGACATGTGAGTTCACAGCCGCACGGGGGATACTGGGAGATTTCAACGGAGCCATCAAAGAGAGCCATCCAAGATTTGTGGCCTTTCATGTGTCCCTATGGCAGTGCCACAGCGCTAACCGTGAAATTTAAACGGGTTACTGTATGGCGCCTCTGAGTCACTTTAAATTAAGGGCTCTGTAAGGATGAATCTGTCGATACTGTTGGGATGTGTATGATAAATCTTTCTCTTGGTTATTCAGTCTCTGTGTGGCCTGTACTCATAGAAACCATTAAGAAGGCAGAGTTTATAAAATTCATACAGAGTTGAAGAATCAGCCACGGTTTTCTGAGACCACGGTAAATGGTTCTTAATGGCAATCTGAAACCATTTACAGCTCGGCTTGAAGGGCAGCGCACGCTGTGCGGTGGTTTGCTGAAGGACAAACTTTGGAAAATGCTTTTCGAGAAACCGAACAATGTCACTAAGCTCTTGTAAATCACAAGCACAGGTTCATGCACTCAGAAATCTTTATTCTCACTGTCGCTTTTCATTGGATGCATGCACATGTATATCAAAATATGGACAAACATGACATTTTGTGCTATTTGCATATAATGTATATGTTTCCATCCAAGTTGCAAATTCTGCAAAAAAAATTAAATGAGAATAAAACAGTTTTCACCCCATGTATTCAAAAGAATAAAAATGGAAGTGAAAGTTGTAACCACTGTGGGTCTTTCATTAAATTTAATGAATGCCTTGTGGTTTAGAGTGCACAGAGAGAGAGCAAAACTTTTTGTACTTTTAGTTATTGCCAATTAATTATTTTAAATTATATTTATAATAAAATATTATTCTATTTATATTATTCCCTTGAAATAACATTTTTTTTTTTTTATTAAAATCCCCAAAATGTGCATAAAAAAACAAACTTGCTTGAGGTGTCTGGGTCTGTTCACCAATTATAATTGGAGAGGAAACTTAGTTTTATAAAGCTACTGCACTTCCGAGTTTACAGTTTGGGAGGGTTATGGATGGTTAAAAAATTCCCTTTAGCTCATGAAAAGTTCACTGGTCAAACTGCCTCTAAACTGTATCACATTATTTCCACCAGTAATAGTCGTAAATCTGACCTTTAAAACAGTGACAATTAAAAATGCATCAAAGCCTGAGAGAGGAGGGCTCCTGCACGGACGGTTCACCCATGGAGACAGAGAAAGAGAGAGTCTGGCTGGAACTCACAGAACGGCACCACAGGGGGTCACAGAAAACGGAAAAATTACTTCACACGCGGGTTCTCCGCTGACTCGGTTTTGTCTTTCTCCATTACCGACTGTTTGAAGCAGATAAAACAGTCGGTGTGTAATGGTGGCCCGGCTGACCTGCGTGGCGGCTCCTCTGTCTCTGGCAGTTCCTCAGAGGGGATTGTGGGTAGGAGTGGGATAAATGGTGGGTGACTGCTGGCGAGGTGGAATGGTGGATGATATGAAGCTTTAAAAAAAAGAACATGTAACCTTTGATCGTGCTTCCGGCGGATATGCACGCGTGCCAGTATCTATCGTCACGTGGATCTCTTCCAAAGCCTCTCTCCGGCAGGTCAGATGAGAATGATAATTGACCCAGTGAATCACAAAAGCCTTTATATGAGACGCAGTTGGAGCTCTCCTCAGATCCAGGTGCATCAAATCCTATTTCAGTGATCTGACTATCACAACCACTGCTACATCTCTCGCTCTCCATTACACAATCACTCATGTAGAGGAATCTACAAAACGTTAACAACAATGCTATTTAAATCAATTTCACTTCAAATTTAAAAACATCATTAAAGTCACATATTTCCTGTTGAAACTGGAAGTTGGTACGAGACAATACTTTTTAGTTATATCGCCAAATAACCTGACTAATTTTGTGGACTGAACAAATTATGTGGCAAAAAAAAAAGCGTTCTGTGGAGGACGTTTGCATTTTGTTTACGAAAGTGGTTTTCTGGATCACAAAATGCATTTTTTCCACTAAATGGTTTTTGAACATTCCATTTCATGATTCACAAGATCTTGATTGATTTCGTCTACTGGGAATTGGCACTGATTTCCCAATTTGTTGCCATTCTGATTCACAAGGTTGATTTGATTTCATTCGATTCACTTCATATTTGTTTTGAGTCTATGCCAGAGACTAGGAATGGGTATCTCCACAGATTTCCTAATTTAGTTCAATTCTTGATTCAATTTGTTTCAAATATGATTTGTTTTGACGCCAGGGTCTATAGGGTATCAACACAGATTTTGAGAATTGTTTTGTTTCAGATTCAAACGGTTCACAAGATTGATTCAAATCAATGCCAGAAACCATTTAATAACTATACCCTTTCCCGTGATGACATACTTCCGTGTTGAAACAGGAAGCTGAGATGAGAAAATACTTTTCAGTTATATGGAGCGCCAAGTGTAGCCTGACAAAAAAAAAATTTTTGCGACACAAAATGCAGTTATACTTTAATGCATTTTTCCACTAAATGGTTTTTAAATGTTCCATTTCATGATTCAGCATGTCACAAGATGCATTTTGTCCATGAAATTATGATTCTGTGTATTTTGTTCACATATTTCGTGATTCATGAACAAAATACATATCATTGAATTCACATCTGGTCACATTTAATGCCAAAATCAGAATAAAAAAATATTTTTAGTAAATATTATATTTTGCAATTTGCATAAAGAAAATGAAGCCTATTTTAGGACCATTAAGGTAGTTTTTGGCATTGTGACTTTTTTTCCCATGGTAATTAAACACAATCTCCGTCCAAATTGCGCCTGAATGTTTTACTTTTGAGGTTTTTTAAACTGCTCTCCTATGAGAGATTGACATTACAATTGTCTATGTGTGTTAAATATGAACATTAACAGTCGCATTTTCAACATGTTATGATAAGGTAACATATCTTATTTTTTTGATAAGGTTTGACATCCATTATAATATTATTATTATTATTTAAAACATTGGTGGATGTCGAACCTGACAAAAAATGAATACCATGTTGTCAGTCACAAAGTTTCAACAGATCTGTTAATTGTATGAGATGCCCTGTGGCTGTGAGTGTCCTCTGGGCATCTCTGTTGTTTGGTGTGGCCCTCTTTCTTCCCATCATTCCTTGCCAAAGCAGTTCACACAGAAGAGTGAGAGCCAAGAGCAGTGACTCGGACCACAGATTGTTCTGCAAAATCCTGGCCTGGCTTGAGAGTGCCATACATACACCTCTCTTTGGCAAAATGTCCTGCCAGTTTCAATCTGACATAAAGCAGTACTGCGTCATGATCTCCGCATGATTCTATTCTGATTCACACAACCTTGATTCATTCATTCTGATTCATCGGCTGGAATTAAGACTGGGATTTGGCATAGATTTCCTCATTTGATTCCATTCTGATTCTCAAGGTCTTGGTTTGAATTAATTCAATTCAGATTTGATTCGATGCCAGGAACTAAGACTGGGCATCGTCATTGATTTTCCAATTCAATAAAATTCAAATCGAATTTGTTTTGATGCCATGAACACTGGCATCCACACTGATTTTTTTTCTTCTAAACGTTCAGTTTCTGATTGGCAAGATTTATTTAATCTAGTTTTGATTTGATTCGTTTCAACGTTGATTTTTTTGCAGGAAACTAGGACTGGATATCATGATTCCATTCCATTCAATTGCGATTCACAGTGTTTTGATTTGGTTAGTTTCAAATTCTTGATGTTATTAGATTCTAATGCTAAGGAAACAGGTCTTTAAAAACTCAAACTAAAAACTTAAGTAATCAAATCTCCAAAAACCAAGTATTCTTACAAAAACCTGTTTCCACTTGAAGACATACAGAAATAGGTACATTTTCTTTCCAGCACACCCACCAGCCGTCCTCTGTTCTTCTCTAGTGCCAAATGGACTGTGAGCGATTGAATAAAGACCAGGGTCTTAATTGAGCCCATTCGTCTAGACTCCTAGCCATTCTTTTCTGTCTAATTACCTGTGTGTGTGTGTGTGTGTGTGTGTGTGTGTGTGTGTGTGTGTGTGTGTGTGTGTGTGTGTGTGTGTGTGTGTGTGTGTGTGTGTGTGTGTGTGTGTGTGTGTGTGTGTGTGTGTGTGTGTGTGTGTGTGTGTGTGTGTGTGTGTGTGTGTGTGTGTGTGTGCAGTTGGCTGGACTACACCTCCTCTGATGAGAATCGTATGAGACACAATACACAGATAGCTCTAAATGAACATTTCCTTTCCCAGAATTCTTCTGAACGCATACTGCATAAATTTACCTGAAATGAATCAAGCATGTTTGCTGCAATGGAGAGCTGTCTTGACTGGTCTTGCTTTTGTATACAGACAGAAATAAAATATATTTATATACTTACAGTATATTTTACTAGACTCAAACTATAGATCCTGTCCGCAAAGTAATTACTTATTCAAAAGAAGTACCGATTTATTTCGTTCAAAAACAAGCAAGTCTTTTTGAGCAAGTCAATGAATCAATCACTTAAAGGAGCTGTATGTAAGAAATGTATTTCAATTAATCATAAAATGGCCCTAAAATGTCACTAGACATTAAGAAATCATGTACATTTCAAATACTTATATCACTGACAGCAGTAGTCTGGCCAGGATATTGTCATTTAAAAAGTGCAGTTGCAGCCCTCAACTGATGTTGATGTTGTCATGTTGTGTTTTGGTCTGATGCTCCACCCTCCACCTATCTACCAATCACGAAGTCAGTAGTGTTGCGGCATCCGGGTTGCCAGCTCTGCTCTAGTTACCACAGCTGCAGCTCGTCACGTTCCTGCTGGATCCTGCAGCCGATCTGGCAACCTCGAGTCAGGGAGGAGGGGGAGGGGATACACCACTCTACAGTAATTTGAAAGTGATTGCAGTACTAGTTTTGGCCACAATCTTACATACAGCTCCTTTAAACAATTCGTTCAAAACACTGACTCTGAGACGGTCAGAGATGGTCGTTGTGGATTTTTTAGGAAATAATAGACAAAGTAAATGACAACATTTTGCCTGAAAGATACAGTAAGTTTATCAATATTAAATGTTTCTGTATTTAACTGTTGTATAAAAGCATATATCTATAGTCTACATAATATAATGTAATTAATAATAGAATATAATATCACATATTACATTGTATTGAACTGTATTGTATTGTATTGTATTGTATTGTATTGCATTGTATTGTATTGCATTGTATAGACAGTGTGATCGCATTTGACTGTAAATGGGATTTTTTTATGGCTCTCTCTCTTTTGCCTTCGTGTCTGAGTGCGACTACAGCGAGGTCATTATGACACAATGAGTCAGACGAATATGAAGTCTACAGTGTGACATGTTTGCTCCCTGAGCTCATAACTTCATTCAAATATGGGGTGTACGACATTACATCACCATAACACACTGTAATGTTGTGTCAAAAGGGCTGAAATGGGTTTAGTGGGCCACTATGTTTCATACGTAAAACCTTCAGTAGATAATACATCACAGGAGTCATGGAAATATAGAAAAAATAGAAAAGGATTCAGACTCACTTGATCAGAATAAAAAGGAACGGTAAGAACGCTGATCTGACCGTTACCTGTATCTTTCCACTTCAAGGAACCGCTGAGCACCATGACAGAATATCTTACAGTCGCCATCAATAACTCACTATGCGTGTACATCTCAATGCATTTAACAAGCTGTCAGGCCCGTGTGTGTTCGAGTGGAATAACTAGATGGTCAGAAACAGCTCACCAGTAATTACGCTGGCTAAGGTATAATTTCTTTCCACTCTCATTTTGGTTTCTGAAGAGGGAAGGAGTGATAAAAGTGAGTTGTGGGAGGTATTTCCAGGTGGTCTCAGGTGTGGACACATTAGTCCTAGCTCACTTTGCCACGTTAATAAGCAGATTTATAGGCCACAGACCCTCCGAGAGGAAAATGAACAGCATGGAGCCCAGAGGAGACAGCACCTCCTACACATGGTCTGGATAAACCCTCCCTAAAGCCAGGGATCTGATCTCTCACAGGGAAGAGGGTTTAGGCAGAGCCAGAGAATCTCAACCTGTCCAGCTTGCCTGACCCATCACCCCCCTCTGTTTAATTTGAGGATTATCCAAAAGAAGCGCATTACTGCTCAGGACGGGTGTGATCTTAAAAAAAGTGGGGTGGCAGAAATACGAGAAAATGTTCAAATATAACAGTCAGAAGTACAAAGATTTAACATGTATTGCTCTGTCATATATCAGGAGAGTTAACCGAGTTCTCAGTTATGTTTGATTTAAAGATGAAGTGTGGCACTATCAAAACCTTGCTCTGTTGAATATCCCAACCAGCCCAGGACATCAGCATTGGCTCAACCAATCACATGATTGGGGCGGGGCTACAGTGGGGTCAGGAAACCAGTTTAAAAACAGTCATTACTTTTTGGTGGCACTAGTTTTACAGAAATTACTTACACTTCACCTTTAAGACTCAAAA